TTTTTTTTTTTTTTTTAATGGTTGCTCAATAACTTTGCCAGAAATGTATAAATGTTTATGTAGTAGGGAAAAGAACTTGAAAAGTTTTTATTTCCTGCTGTTGTCCTGGCATCTCTTAGCACAGCCCTAAGGTTCCTACTTCAATGGAAGCTAGCTCTGTCACCATTCTTCAGTTCTCCTGCAAAGGCTTATTAAAGAGTGGGATTTAGATTTCCTTTTCTTGCAGTTCCTCAAGTCAAGCATGTTTTGATTTAAGGGGTTTTTGGTCATTTTAGTCTAACAGGCAGTAACAGAAAAACATGTGGAAGTTATAAAGATTGTAGTATTGTACCCAGCTTTTAGAATCCTGATCCTTAAACTGTTTTGCTTAACTGGTAACTGGAAGTCTCGAAGGGTTTCCTGCCTTTTATTTAGGATGGTGAGATTTACAAAGAAATATGAAAAGTCATAATTAAACTTTGGTGTTAGATGAACTTGGGATTTAATCCTAGTTCTATCCATTGTTAGCTATGTGACCTTAGACAAGTATTTTTACTTTTCAGAACACCAGTCACCTCATCTATGAAGTAGATATGATAGAACCTGCCTCTTAAATTGTCCTGGAATTAAATAAAAGTATAGTAAAATGCTTACACGGTGCTTGGCGTAGAAGGAAGTACTGACTTAATAAAGATCTGTGGTTTTTAAGGATTTTGATTGTGCTGCCTGGTTTACTGAGGCTCTCCCCAATCCAGGAATGACACTTTTTGTAAATTTTCTCACATTTGCTTTTTGTTTTCTTTCAATATTTGTTGGGTTACTATTAATCTCCCAGTGTTCCCATGATATTGGGACAACAAGTAGCATTCTGAATCTTCTTAGGCTAAATGTGTCTAGACTCTAGTCTGAAGTGGAACAAAACATGGGTCCTTAAAAATGTTAGAAGTCATCTTTCTGCCTTTGTGACCATAACTGCAATGTCATATCATTGTTTGCTTTCCTCAAACTATATTTAAACTAACTGATACTTTTTAGAACTTCAAAATTTTCTGAAGGCAGAAAGGAATGGTAATTTTAGATTCTAGTTAATTTCCTTTCAGCTGGTATGCAACTCCAGGTTTAGGTGGAGTCATAATTAGGTGCTGCTCTTAAATAAATTTCTTTATATTTGTATTGAAGATTCCCTCAGTGTCCTTAGATGACTTTTACCTTTGCTTTCTATCCTTTTCATTTGTGAATCTCACCTTTATAAATATAAGTAGCTTCATAATTTCTCCCACTTAATACTATTGAAGTTAATCAAAATTTTAGAAAAACCCCAGCAGACCCTTAATGACAGTGGATGTGATGAGTAAAGTATAACATTATAGCATTTGAGCAGGTTTATTTACTGGTTAAGTGATGCTTCTGGATCATAGCCATTCATTTCAATTTTATGTTTCACAGAAGTACAAATAATTTTTATTATCAGATATTACTCCTAAGTATTCAGATAAGTACTCAGAGTTATATCTATAACTAAACTTATTGATATAAATATTTTCAAATTATTAGATTATTAAATTAGACATAGCTAGTTTTGTTTCCAAACTGAGTTCAGGGGGTAGTATAGTACAAAATATGCATTATACCAAAAATGTTATTGTTAGAATTTTCCTCTCCCCAATTCAGTTCTGTGGGGGGTGGGGGTGGGATTGTAAATTTTTTTTTTTTTCCCCCAGTTACAAATTGCGACATTGCTACAAATGAAAGGATCTCAAACTGAGTTTGAGCAACAGGAGCGGCTGCTTGCCATGCTGGAGCAGAAGAACGGTGAAATTAAACACCTCTTAGGTGAAATCAGAAACCTGGAGAAATTTAAGGTATGTGTAACTCCTTCAATAGTGCAGCCAGATTTGGTTTGAATATCTTACATCAGTTGATCCTTGAGCAACACAGGGGTTAGGGATGCCCACCCCTGTGCTGTCAAAACTCTGCATAATTTTTGACTCCCCCAAAACTGTATTAGTAGCTTACTGTTTATTGGAATCCTTACTGATGACATAAACAGTTGATTGACACATGTTTAGTATGTTATATGTATAATACACCATCTTCTTACAATAAAGTAAGTTGGAGAAAATAAAGTGTTGTTAAATTATAAGGAAGAAAAAATAACATTTACAGTACTCTACTGTGAAAAATTCACATATGAGTGGACCTATACCACTCAAACCTGTGTTATTCAAAGGACAACTGTATTAACCCAATATGCTATTCATTTTGAGTAATAAGAATTGTTGTTTTCTTTAGAGTTTATATGAAAGTACGGAATCTAGGCAGTCCGTCAACTCTGACACTCCAGAAGATAACACTTACTATACAGATTTACTTCAGATAAAGCTTGACAACTTAAAGTAAGTGTTGGGTGATTAGAAAGATGGACACACTCTTGACTTGCTTATAATAAGTAGTATTAGTGACTACAAATTTTTGTTTTCACATTGCCAAAAGAAATTCCGGAAAAGAAAAGCAACAAAAATATATTGGTGGCAGATGAGATATATTGAAGATATAATTAGTGCTGGTTATTGAAGAAAAAATATTTTCAATGAATAATTAAAGATTTTGATTTCTTTGGGTTTAGTTTTTTAGACTGGTAAGTGAAAAGAACTTTAATACAGAAAATGTACTTATACTCTAAATTTTTCAAGACTAATATCACCTAATTTAACACTTGAAAGTTATTTGTACGTGCATTACTGTGAAAATAATACTTTGCCCCTTTGTCCATTTCCTTTGAAGAATGCGTGACATTTTTTTGTTTGAAAATGCTATTGTTAAAGCTTATTTTGTTTATTGTTTCTTTCTTATCTAAAACCCCCCAAAAATGTATTTTTGTCAAAGAGTTCAAGTATATAGTAAAAGATTTTGCAGTAACAATATACCTTGTGTGTGTGTGTGTGTGTGTTTGTGTGTGTGTGTGTGTGTGTGTGTGTGTGTGTGTGTGTATAAAACATGTATGTATATTGTGTGTTATTTTAATATTCCTTGATTCTCCTTTTTGTATTTATATAGCAAAGAAAATGAAAGCACTAAAGGTGAATTGTCCATACAGCGAATGAAAGCATTATTTGAGAGCCAACGGGCTTTGGATATTGAAAGAAAACTTTTTGCAAATGAAAGATGCCTCCAGCTCTCCCAAAGTGAAAATATGAAACTGAGAGCTAAATTAGATGAGTTAAAACTGAAGTATGAACCTGAAGGTATGCATGTCTCATTTATGTTGTCTTTTAAATTATGAGACACCCTGAGAAATCATATCAAGTTTTTTTCTTACTACAGCTTTATGCAAATCCCATTACAAACTAATTTATGGTTATGTATCTGTATCTAATAAAACAGATTTACTCCTACAAAAGATGTAGGAAAATTATAAGAGAACTGGATACTGGGTATGTATGAATATGATAGGTATTCTGTTGGATATCTGTATATTAGAGCCTTGATAAGGTTTGAAAACCTTAGAGATTTTTCCATTTAAGATTGCGGACACCCTACATAATACCAAAGAGTTTGATTTTGTTGAGGCAACTGATGTTTGGGCTCTGTATTAGTTAATACCATTTATAGAAAACCTAAAAATGGAGACTTAAAAAAGATAGGTATTAATTCTTCCCCTTACAAAAGTCTGGAAGAGACATTCCAGAACTGGTCAGAGTGTCAGGATCTAGGCTTCATTTGCATTGTTCATCAGTATAACCCTTGAGTAGAATTGAGTCACATGACTCCCCTACAAGAAAAGCTGAGAAAGGCAATCTTGATTCTCAGGGGTCATATTCCCAACTACATCTTGGGATTTTTTTTTTTTTATAAGTGTAATAGACATTTGAGTCACATGACTCCCCTACAAGAAAAGCTGAGAAAGGCAATCTTGATTCTCAGGGCCAAAACTGCTATCTTGGGATTTTTTTTTTTTTTTATAAGTGTAATAGACATATAATATTTTATTAGATTCGGGGTATATCATAATGATTCAATATTTATACATAATAAAATGATACCCCCCCATGATAAGTCACCATGCAAAGTTATTACAATATTATTGAGTATATTCTTGGGGGATCTATTATTGAGGAAGACTAGTGGGACAGATATTAGAGGACAACTAGCAAGTCTGATCACTGAGGTAGAAAATAGCCTTAATATATAGGCTTTGCATCTTACATACTAAAAAAGAGTAGTTTTACTGTCTGTTTGTAAATTGAAAAATAAAAGGCCAAAAATAAAACAAAGCCTAATAACGTGATGGTTCTTAAAGCAAAAAAAAAAGTGTTGTTACATGTTTTAGGTTATAGATTTTCAGCCAGTTTTTGCTCCTATGCTGTTCACATACCTAAGACTATCATTATTGTTCATGACTCATGTCATTCTCAATAGTAGTGGGGAGGTTGTCAGTAATAGTAAGCTCTTTTATAGTTCAAAAAGTCTGCTCTTCTCATCCTTTTTCTCTTTGCTGATTCTAATAGGCTTTCCTACTTAAAAATTACACATTATGAATTTCAAAGGTCTGCTGAACTGAACACTGCAAACAGAGGAAAGTATCGTGAATCTAGTTGATTCAGGGAGAATCTATCTGATGCAAGAGAAAGGGAAGATAATGATATAAAAAGAACAGTGTAGAGCAGGGACATCAACCCCATGTCCACCCATGGTTTCTCCCACCTTCACTAACAATTTTGATTTTGAAAATGAAAAACACATTGGTATGAGGATAGGGAAAAGATAGAACAATTAATTTAGTGACTGTAAGTATGCCTGCAAAGGGGGTGGAATGATGTTATGTTAGGCAGTGGGGGTAGAAGGCTATTGCTGTAGTCTGCAGTGAGACGTACTATGGTTTGAACTTGGGAGGTATCCACAGTGGAAGTACTCAGATTTTGAACATACTTTGTGGGTGGGGCTAATAAGCACAAATTGCCATAGAGAATTTGACTTGTTCTTTGCATGTAGTCATTACAACACACAATATTGAGTGGAGTAAGTGTTTTTAATCCCCATTTTACAGACAAAGAAAATAAAGTTCGAGAGGTTAAGTACTTCCTCCAGGTCACCCAGCTACAGAGTACTACTATGAGGATTTGTATCTGGATTCCTTGACTCTTAGCCACTGCATCCTTCCTCACCTCCATGCTGAAGTCTTATAAAGCCCTGTGTAACTTTTATCACAATATCAGAAGAGAACATATAAGTGTTAATTCTGAGAGCCAAATCTTTTGAGTTCCCAAGGAAAATTTATAGCCAGATAACTTTTAAAAGATGCAGTTAGTGAAGTCTATGAAAAAGAAAGGATAAAAGAAACAATATATTTCAATAAAGAGATAAGTGGGTTTTAAAAGAATGAAGAAAAGGAAAAGAAAAACCAATATAACTAGTTCTATCTTTTTATGTTTACAGTGTCTTTGTTTTGACTTATTGACTGAATATACTTTTAATGTTTTTATCCTCAGAGAAAATTGAAGTGCCTGTGGCCAAAAAGAGGCGTGAGGTCCTGCCTGTGGATATAACCACCCCTCACAGTGTATGTGCCAAAAGTGCAGTAGAGGAAGAAGTTTGTAGATTACCACCTCAGAAAGAGGAGGCACAGGGCTGTCCCAGCAATTCAGAAAATAACAACTTGCAGATAGAAAAGACAGTTTCTGTAAATACACCAGAAGTCATTCTGTCTCCTCATAAGAGTCTGCCCATGGATACTCAGCCAAGGAAGGAAAAGAAGTGTGTAAAACTTATAGGAGTTTCAGCAGACTCTGAAGTCTTAAGTGAAAGAAGTGGAAACACCCCGGATTCTCCCAGGTCAGTGTCCTATTTTCCTCAGGGCAACCAGCAGACCTCTCCATCTCTTCTCTATCGCTGCATGAACTGTGCTATCTGTTTCTTTATCTATTTTCTTAGTATTGCATGTAGTATAATTCCCCAATTTCATCTGCCTACCTTCAACTTTTTTAAAACTTTAAGAAAAACTAAAATGATTACAAAGGGAAAGGACTCCTGAATAAGGGAATTATTTTCGAGAGTTACACTTTGCTATTTCAAGAAACAGAAATACCACAGTCTAGTACATCTCTGAATGTTTTGTTGGTTTCAAGAAATGTATAGTTGGTTATTTTTCCCCTAGTTCAAGAGTGACCATGAAAGAAAAATTAACTTACGTCCTAAAAGGGCTTTCTAGTAGTCTAAGAAATTTCAGCCTTCTAGAAACTGTTAGGTGAAATTTTTTTATGGCTTTTGAAATTGTTTATCCTAAGTCTACAAGAAACAGCTTTGATTTTGACATTTTTAAATATCAAAGGTAATTCATTTTCATTTTTATATCAAAACTTCAAAGCCTGTAGTTTCTGCATGTTTGAGTTTGTGACTCAAAGAGGAAGTGTCAGACATGTGTCTATAGGAATTAACATTTTAAGGGCCTTATCTTTAAAACAAATTAAAATAATAGAGATTGGAAGGTAAGAGAAAGTGAGTGAAAGGAAAAGGTAGGTAACAGTGACTGAAGCTAGGATAGAATAAGATACAAGCTCAGGGCAAGTGTAGCAGGACCAAGAGTAGGGAAAAAAGGAATGAGGATGGAGAAGGTAATAAAAAGATGATGAAGGATGTCTGTATGCAGTGGAATGATAGATGCATTTAAAATGCGTATCTTTAGACATTTTAAAAATTAAACATATTGATGTGAAAACAGGTTGGATTGTCTACTTATTAAAAGGAGATCTTTAAGGTGCTACTAGGGCTACATGAGTCTTTGATGGGAAGGTACAGAATAAGACATTTTACTAGTGTGTATTTGAGGTAAGATAGTAAGACATAGCCCACCTTTGTAAAAGGGCTGTTTTGTATGTTTTGCCTGATTTTTTTAATAAGTCTTCAGTGCTACTAAAGGTACTGTACAGTGAAAGCACCTCAACAATGTGAGCAGCTATTATTATTAAGAGAAGGACTGTTGACCCCTGAGCAACATGGGTTTGATCTGTGCAGGTCCACTTCCATGCGAATTTTTTTTTTTTTTTTTTTTTTAATATACCATACATTATTGTAAATGTGTTTTTCTTATGATTTTCTTAACATTTTCCTTTCTGTAGATTTACTTTAAGAGTGCAGCATATGATACATATATAAAATATGTGTTAATCACTTGTTTATGTTATGGGTAAGGCTTCCAATCAACAGTAGGCTATCAGTAGTTAAGTTTGGGGGGAGTCAGAGGTTATATGAGGATTTTTGACTGCAGGGGTCAGCATTGTTCACAGATCATCTATAATTTATTACTCCATTCCTTGAATTTTTACATAGTAACATTATAAGTCTCATAAGGTAAAAGCCTAATATTCTCAAAGAAAAAGTAACTTCAAATAAATTATAAGTCACACACACACACACACAGAGTTCCAAGTAGTTTTGAAATGAAGTCAATAGGTTATGTTTGTATATATGTGATTCATTGTGTAAGTGTGCTTGACCATTGTATATTTCTGGAGGTGCAGTTCCAGAATTAATCAGTGCAGACCTTGCTATCTGTGTTGTCTTCATTTCTTTTTCTGCTCTTTTTTGCTTGATAAAAATTACTTAAGCAAATGTATTTAGCTACTTGTTTGACTCAAATTAAGTAGCACGTTGGAATTTTGTCTGGCTAGTGAAACAAAAACAAATAAAATACCACAAAACGTTTGTTTTTGTGTATGTGTGAGTCCATCTGCTAACTCAATATGTTTCCAGCCTTTTGCTCGTTGCATGATTAACTTAGACACACAATACTATGATAATATTACAATAGTAAATATGGGTTTACTGGGGACTTCACTATTGCATGCTTTATAAATTTAACTGATAATCTTGCTATTAAATCTTTATAAACCTTTTAAAATATATCTTCACTGTTTTTTCATAAATGATTATTCTGCTAGTTAAAATTCAATTTAAGTTTTGTGTTTCTTTTATGAGACAAATTGCCATGTGTTCATGCACTTCAGTATTCCATGTTATTTTTATCTTGTGTTTTCCTTTTGTAGGTCATGTTAACATTAAAGTTGTGCTCTAGCATTTAAATTTTTTTGTTAGGTGTGCTTATAGTAGACATCCCATTATATTTTAATTCTTAAATTTAGGCTTTGCCATGACTTTTATCGGCGTTAAAAATATTTCTTTGGACATTTAAAATATTAAGTCTGTTGACGTAAAAAGTCTCTTTTAGAGAGGCAGTTACTTAGTTTTCTTAATGGTATTGGAGTCACCTATAATTTTTCCTCATATACATACAAACAATTATGTCTCATTAGAGGCCCATTATATGAGAAGATTGTTTCTTCTGTAATTTTTCTTAACCATATTTGAATTCAGAGTGGATGCTTTAATGCCTGTAGGTTAGCTGCTGAATCAAGGCTTCAAACAGAAGTTAAAGAAAGGAAAGAAACTGCAAGCAAATTGGAAAAGGAAACTTGTAAGAAATCACATCCTATTGTATACGTGTCCTCCAAATCAACTCCAGAGACCCAGTGCCCTCAGCAGTAAGGACTTTACTTTAATGAGAGTAAGGTACCACTTGCCCAAAAGGTTGATTTGGAGCTTTGTTAAGATTGTCTTTATCAGAACTATACAACCTTGTAGGTTATTTCTTTCTACCTGTTGTGCCAAGACCTGGCATTTTCATGTTCGTCTGACCAAATGTTTAAAATTTGGTTGTGATTCTAAGCAGGAGAGTTCCTTAAATGATGACTCTTCATGGAACTTCTATTAATGACAGTAAATAAACTAATAACTGAAGGAAAGTGTTATTATAAATTATTTGTTGCATTGTATATGGATTTTTTAAGTGTCATTAACACATACCTTCTAAGTCACATATTTGGAAAGAATACAAATCATTAACGATTACATTTTCCTATGTACTTTTTAATGAACTTAGTTTTTCACTATATTATAAAAATAGAAAACTTAGTTTAAAAATATATATTATATTGTAACTGGATTTTATCAGTGTTTAAAGCATCTATGTTTATCTTTGTATTCATGTACGTGATTTAAATTTTAAGTCTCAAGCATATGAAAAATATAATTTTGAAACTTAAAACTGCCATAAATGATCCCCTATTTTTTTTACTCTGTATAGATAACACATTGTTATCAAAAGGGGATAAAGGAAGTAAAATGAAACTTCAGAAATTCTTAATTCCCTAGTACATATAATTTATATATATATATATATATATATATATATATACACACACACACACACGTATATAATTTATATAATTATATACATATATATAATATATATTTTTAATTCTAAACTTTCCAAATAAAGACTTTTTTTTCCTTTAAATGATTATAATCTTGTCTACAACTTAATGTCATATATATACATATACTGTAGGTGGATGTATTTATTTATATAGAGAGAGAGAGAGTTAAGATCTTGGTTTATGTGATTATGAAGCCTGGCAAGTTCAAAAACATCATGATGGGCTAGCAGGCTGGAGACCCAAGGAAGAGCCAGTGTTACAGTTCAAATCCAGAAGCTGTTTGGTGCAGAATTCTCTCTTGCTCTGGGGAGCTCAGTCTTTTGTTCTAAACAGGACTTGAACTAACTGCATACATAGACCGATTCACTTTATGGAATGCAAACTACTTCACTCAAAGTCTGCAGGTTTAAATGTTAATCTGATCCAAAAACACTCTCAAAGAAACATCCAAAATAATGTTTGACCACATATCTAGGCTCCTTAGCCTTGCCAAATTGATACATACCATTAACCATCACAGTCAGTTACTTAAGTTTATTGAAATATATTAGATAGAAGGAACTTGCCTCTCACTTCTAAGAAATTAAATGAACTTTTAATTCTAATTTTCTGAAAAAAGCATACTCTAAACAATTTAGAGATTTCACATTAAATAATAACTCTTGCAAAAAGAAGTAGCTGAAGGCACCAGGGAATGAAAATTTTAACCTGAGGATAATAACAAATAATTGACCATATTCATTGCATATTATAAAATATACATTAATTCCTTCTAATATTGAGTTGTTATGTGAAGCTGTGTGCTAGGGGTGCAAAAATAACCCTTTAGAGCTCAGTTTAATAGACCCACATAGATGAGTAGTGGTAGTACTGTTATTACTTGTAATAACAATCATATTTAACATTGAATAAACCTAATGTCCAGGCATTCTTCTAAGCCCTTTCATGTATTACACATTTAACCTTCCAACATCCCTGAGAGTTAGATATTTGTACTTGCTATCCTCATTTTATAGATGAAGAAAACAAGGTCAGAGAAGTTATTAATCCAAGGGCACAGGTGTTAGTAAGTGATGAAAAGTGTGGTAGAGGTTATTAATAGCAAAGTATACAAAGTACTGTAATAACAGAGGGAAACAAGAAACTGTCTGTGGCCTTCCTATATCTTTGTCATCTTTTACAGTGTCTCAGAGGTTTCCTGAGGCATGGAGAGAATAGCACTACAGGTGGGAGAAATAGCTGTTCAAAGAGTAAAGGCATGAAACAACATTTCTAATCCTATAGACAAACTGAGCAACTGTGATTAAAGGTTGAAGAATAGGAATGAAAAGAGAACCTTATCCATCTACCTTCTGCTTTATCACCCTTAGGTGTTCCTGTTGAGTCTTGAGTCTTTGTATTTTTTAAATGTTTATTTATTTTTGAGAGAGAGAGACAGCATGAGCGGGGGAGGAACAGAGGGAGAGGGAGACACAGAATCTGAAGCAAGCTCCAGGTTCTGACCTGTCAGCACAGAGCCTGACATGGGGCTTGAACTCACAAACCATGAGATCATGACCTAAGTCAAAGTTGGATGCTTAACTGACTGAGCCACCCAGGCACCCCTTAGTCTTGAATCTTTTAAGAATGTATTTTGAAAACCATTGTAGATGATAGGAAGCAACTGAATAATTGATATAAAAAAGCAATTATTGAATAAACTGATAAGGTTGAATACATTATTGAATTTATTTTTAATAAAAACACTAGAAGCATAATG